AAGCTATATCAGGAAAGAAGCATCAATCCCCGACAGAAGCCCTATGTGTTGATGGAAACACTATTACTGATCCTCAACAAATAGCAGAAGCATTTGCCATGTATTATGAAAACGTAAGCTCTTCACACGCTAACCCTGTGGGGTTCCTTGAACAATTCCTGGAACCCATTCCGGACACACTGCAAGAAGAACAACCCTACAATCTACAAATTTCAATGCAAGAATTTGAACATGCGTTAAATAGTACCAACAAATCTTCACCTGGCAGAGACAACATTCCTTATGTTTATCAAGAACCTGTCCTCTACACACAAAATACTCCTGCTAGAACTCTACAACAGAATCTGGCATTCCGGATATTATCCTGCGGCTTGGAAAGAGGCAGTAATCATTCCAATAGCTAAGCAAAGTAAGAACCAACTTTTACCGAGCGACCATAGGCCAATATCCCTCACTTGTTGCATGGGAAAACACCTAGAGAAAATAATATCTTTACGACTATTCTGGTATCTTGAATCTCGGGACCTATTAACAAAATACCAAACAGGGTTTAGGAATCATAGATCTGCAATTGACATGTTGGTGAACCTTGAGCATGCCATACAGAATACATTTGCGAACAGACTTCATATGGTTGGCGTATTCTTTGACTTAGAGAAAGCTTTCGATCGTACGTGCAGGTTTAGTGTACTTAAAGCGCTAAAGAAATGGGGAATACACGGTAAAATGATGGATTTTATCAAAAGCTTTCTAGAAGAACGGAGATTCGCAGTAAGACATGGTAATTCTCTATCAAACAGTCACGTCCTGGAAAGCGGAATACCCCAAGGATCTACGTTGAGTGTTCTCCTTTTTAACATAGCAATAAATGCGATATTTAATGACCTAAATCCCAGCATTGGCCAAATCATGTATGTTGACGACCTTACCATTTATTACTCATCGAACTCGATCGATGACATCCAAGATAAACTGCAACAAGCAGTAAACGCAATTGTCTAAAAAGCAAGTAGCATAGGCTATCGTTTTTCTGAGACAAAAACTCGATGTGTGCACTTTTGCAGACTTGGGAGAACCCACGACCATCCACAAATTGTAATGAATGGACGCCAGCTTCAGTTCTGTGATACAATAAAGGTATTAGGACTCATATTCGATAAAAAACTCTACTGGAAAGAACACATGCAGGATTTAGTCGCAAGATGTCAAAAAGCCATAAACCCACTTCGTTTTATGTCAAACATCAACTGGGGCGCCGACAAGGAAATCTTGTTAACGTACTACAAGTCAGTAATACTATCCAAAATAGACTACGGAAGTGTCTTGTATGGTGTTGCACGACCATCACACTTGAAAGCTTTGGACACAATACAATGCACAGCTTTGAGGTTAGCAACTGGGGCGGCCTACCGCACAAGCCCCTACCGCTCACTTTGTATCGAAGCCAATATTCCTCCGATAGAATTGCATCGCCAGCAAATCCTTCTCAACTATGGGATCAACGTATATAGTCAGCCGCAGCACCCCAACTACGCAATGATGTTTTTACAACGAGATAATGTATACAACTCAAAGCCCACAATCACCAGACCCACTGGCGTAAGCATCAGAGAAACTAGGAATAAACTTCAAATTTCATTTCCAGATGTGTAAACATTGGGTCCATGTGAAGTTCCGTCATGGATAGACCACCATGTAAACACTACTAAATTAGGGAATTTCGATAAGAAGAACACCAATCCTGCTATCATTAAAGCTGCTTGGAATGCTTTTCTGGAACAACACCGAGACTGGAACATCATTTCCACGGATGGTTCTAAGACGGAGAATGGCTGTGGATGTGCTCTTGTCCATAATAAGATCTGCCAACATGTGCCTCTGTATTTAGTGCTGAATTATACTCAATTTGGCATGCCATCCTATACACTGAAATTCGGGGTATCAACAAGACGGTCATATGCACTGACTCACTTAGCTCAACACAAGAACTACAACAACTTTATCCAAAAGATCCACTGATAAAGATAATACAGGCAAAAATTGGGCATTTGCGATCACAGGCTATTGAGCTTATGTCTATATGGGTCCCTAGTCATACCGGAATTAATGGTAACGAATTAGCTGACAACGCTGCAAAAGCATCAACTACGCAACCCCCGGACGTAAATGTACGCCCTGGCGACCTAAAAGCCACATTCAAACATCGAATAGTATCAAAATGACAATCTCAATGGGACTCTACCACCGCTAAGCTCAAAGGATTGAAGCCAAAAATTGGAAAAACCATTTACACCAACCAAATTACTCGGAGAGAGCAAAGCGTTCACACACACCCTTGAATGAAGCTGATAGATGGTCACATCAAATTTCACGCAACCTAAACGAAGCCTTAAGTATGGAGCCAGAGCAAGTAAGAACGATCCTACAATGGCTACGAAACACTGGACTGTTCAACAAAATCTAACTAATGTAAGAAAGAGAGACAAAAAAAAAATATATATATATATATATTTCAACAAAGCATAATTAGAGTAAAATAAAAAAAAAATTAAAAAAACTGCAACGGCAAATTATATTCTTTGTTTGAGACCTAATTGATCAATTTAAATATTATAACATTGCTTACCCAACCTACGTGTCTTTTCCTACGTGCCCAAATACCTACCAGCCCGCGGACTATCCTGTGTATTGTGTGTTTACAAAAGTCGCCCTGATCGTTCCCCGAGGCGTGAAGTGACTGTCCCTGTACAGACAAGGCTGTTTGTACACGTCTTGGAGAAAATGTCACGTCCGTGATCATATATCGATAATCAGGTGCTTCAATTGCTCTCGGTTTGGTCACCTAAAAAAAGATTGTAAGAGTAAACCCTTGTGTGCAACTTGTTCCAATGAACATGATGTTAAAACCTGCGAATCTTGTATTAAAAAATGCGTAAACTGTTCGGCATATAACGACTACACGCTGAGTCGTTCTAGAAACTATAAGCCTTCTCCTGTAGACCATGCATCATCAGATACCCAATGTCCATGCTTCTTAAGGAGACTAGCACAAATTAAATCCAGAATTGATTATGGCTAAATCAATAAAAAATATTTTAAAAATATGCCATTTAAATGTACGTTCTTTAACGGCTGACTTTAATGAATTCTCATCTCTTGTACGATGCAAGTTTGATATTGTAGCAGTCACTGAAACATGGCTCCATTCAAACATTGATAGCACTGCTGTCAGTATGCATGGGTATAGCTTCTTCCGTAAAGATCGGGGGAGTAGAGGGGGTGGCGTCGGTCTGTATGTTAAAGTCGGTTTTAATAGTAGCGTTATTCCAGTTGAGTTCTGTGATTTTGTAATTCCCCTGGAAATTTTATGCTGCAAATTTAAACTACTGGGAAAAAGTATGCTAATTGTTGTGGTATATCGGCCACCACATTGTTCTATATCTCAAGCTATCCAATCCTTAGAAAACTTGATCGCATTTTTCACACCCCAATATGATAGTATTGTATTTTTAGGAGATATGAACGTTGACTTGCTTGCGCATAATAATATCCTTAGCAGCTGTTTTGATTCTTTCAATTTCTTTCAAGTCATTAATGAGCCTACACCAGTTACAGCTTTCAGCTCCACATTAATTGACCCCATTTTTGTAAGTGACAGTACTATAGTAAAGAAGTCTGGTACACTTAATGCAGACTCGATTAGTGATCACCGACTTGTTTTCTGCGAGATCTCCATTAGTAGTAATAAAATAGAGCCCAAATTTGTAGCATATCGGGATCTCAAAAGCATTGATATCCCTAGTTTTAAGACGCAGATCGCTTCATTGCAGCTTGAAGATATACAGGGTTTGTCCGGAAAGTAATGAGCTCTATTTTTTATTTCATCATTTATTGATCATTTGAGTAAATAAACTCAATATTCTTCGAAGTAGCACCCTCCTGCATCGATACACTTTTGCCAGCGTGATTTCCAAGCCGCGTATGCTCCCTGGAACTCCTCGACTGAGATGCTGTTCAGGGAGGCCGTCGAAGTAGCTTCAATGTTCTCTAGGGTGTCCAGATGCTGTCCCTTGAGGCCCCTTTTTAGTCGAGGAAACAAAAAGAAGTCCGCTGGAGCCAGATCGGGACTGTACGGTGGCTGGGGCACCGTCGTGACACCGATCCGAGTCAAGTAGGCGACGGTAACAAAGGCGGTATGGGACGGTGCGTTGTCGTGGTGGAGTTTCCATGAAGATCGAATTTCTCTTCGAACGCGGGCAACCCTGTGTTTCAGTCTTTGAAGAACTTCTTTGTAAAATTGAGCATTGACGGTCTGGCCAGGGAGTACAAACTCGTGGTGCACGATTCCCTTAGCATCGAAGAAGACAATGGCCATGGATTTGATCTTGGACTTGCTCATTCGAGCTTTCTTCGGGCGTGGCGACGCGGACGTGTGCCATTCTGCGCTCTGCCGCTTTGTCTCTGGGTCGTACTCGAAAATCCATGTCTCATCTCCCGTTATTACATTGTCTAGGAAATTTGGATCATCCGCAAACTGTTTCAGTTCCTCACACACAGCGACACGATGGAGTTTTTGAACGTCGGTCAAAACTCTGGGCACAAGTTTTGCACAAATTTTGCGCATGGCTAAGTCTTCCGACACAATTTCGTGAACAGTGGTCTTTGGCAAGTACAAAAGGTCAGCAATCAAGCGGACACTCAGTCGACGGTCTGTGCTGAGAATTTCTCGCACACGGGTCACATTGTCATCTGTTCGTGATGTCGATGGACGTCCTGAACGCATTTCGTCATCGACCTCCTCTCGCCCTTCCCGGAACGACTTGTGCCACTTTTTTATTTGTGAATATGACAGGCAGGCATCCCCAAACGCTGTTTGAAGCAAATCCAATGTCTCCTTCGGTGTTTTGTTTAGTTTCACACAAAACTTTATCGCGTATCTTTGCTCTAAAGTTTTTTCCATCGTAACTTCGACGATGTCGCAAAACAAGGGCTAACAAAAATCAGCGTACACACTCTCCAAGAGGTCGGAGGTAACTGGCAAGTGTACCACTTAGAGATGATCGATATATCGGTACCGGCGACCTTTCCCGGTGACTTGAATGGTCGCCGTTAGTCCCGGCGACCTGATTCTCCATGAAGCAGCGACCCAGGTCGCTGTTTGGAAGTATCGATATCGGTAACCACTGATCGGTAGCTGTAACGCTGTTTCGGTCGCGGTCGCTGCCAGGAAGCATATATACATCACGATCATCGCGCGGGAAGTACAGGGTCGCTACAGCGTAGCCTAACCTATTTTGTTAGTTTTTATTGTTATTGTTGTGAGTTGCAAGCACCTTATAAATATGTCAAAGCGCCAAAAGATTAGTGATATTTGGAATTTTTTTTCAGTAAGTGATAAAGTAAATAACTATGCGGAATGTAATGTATGTAAAAAAAGAATTTCCTTCAAAACGACAAACTCAAACATGAGGAAATATTTAAAAACCAATCACCCAACAGTTCAGGTTCTGAGCACGAGAAAAGGAACCGAGCAATCTACGATGGACTGTGTTGGTGATCAAACCGATCACGATTATATTGCACCTTCTACGTCGACGTCTTCTATTTCTTCGACTAGAAATATTTGCAAACCTGCTTTAGTGAAAAAAAGTATCACGAATCAAATAAAGATATCAAGTTTTATTGCAAACAAATTAGGTGTAAGTGCAAACAAAGTTATAACAGAGAAACTTTTAGAAATGTTTTACAATGACTTTCAGCCATTCAGTATGGTCGAGGATCAGGGTTTCAGAAGTTTTGTAGAATCCTTAAATCCTGCATACGAGATTCCGAACAGGCAAACCATTTCAAAATCGCTCATTCCAGCAAAATATGAAGAATGCCTTCATCGATGCAAGGAAATAATGGATGGTGTGAAATATGTATGTATAACGACTGACAATTGGACGTCAGAAAATAATGACAGCTTTTTAGGCGTCACAGCGCACTTTATCAGTGAAAATTTTGAAATGCAATCTGTCTTGTTAGATTGCAAAGAGTCACAAGGTCAACACACAAGTGTAAATTTGGCTCGTTCCCTGAAAGAAATTATTACAGATTGGAATCTACAATCCAAGATTATCCTAGCTGTGTCAGATAATGCTCCAAACATAAAAGGTGCCATATCTAAGGAGCTCGGCTGGAAACATTTTGGATGTTTTGCGCACTCATTAAACTTAGTAGTTTCCAATGCCTTGGCCGTAAATGACAATATAATGGAATTAATAAATAAAATAAAAGTTGTTGTAGTACATTTCAAGCACAGTGCGTTATCAACTGAAAAGTTGATGACTCAACAAAAAAATTCTGGAAAGGAACCACTTAAATTGCTGCAGGATATTAAAACTAGATGGAATTCGACATATTAAATGTTGAAGAGATTTGTTGACCTAAAAGATGACCTGAAAAGTACCATAGCAGTGCTGGACAAGGACCTGCCAGTGCTAAGGCAAGAAGAGTGGGAGATATGTGACCAGTTATGTCGAATACTAAAGCCTTTTGAAGGTGCCACTAAGACAATTAGTGGCGAGAAATATGCAACTGCTTCTTTGGTTATACCTTTAGTTAATGGTTTAAAATCAGTTTGTCTAAAATTGACTAAAAAGGACTTTCATCCAGATGTAATCCAAGTGGTTTTAAAATTAAATTCTGGTCTGTTCGACAGATTTGAATCTGTGGAACGTAGTAACACCCTTACTGCTTGCACATTTTTAGATCCCAGATTTAAAATGCTTGTATTTGATAATGAACAACTAAGCAGTAATGTCAAAAAAAATATTATTGGCATTGTTACAGCAAAATTTTTGGAAAAACAAACTAGAAATGGAGGCGAGGAAACTGTAAATAATAACCAATGTAGTGATAGTGAGTCAGAAGATGAATTATCCGTTTGGGGATCCTTTAAAAAAACTGTCTCTTCAAGTACTAAGCCCAAAGCAACGGCTTCCTCTCAAGCGATAATTGAGGTCCAGCGATATTTAGAAGAAGATTTACTACCCCGTAATGAAGATCCTTGTAAGTGGTGGAGAGATTTTAACCACTACTACCCAGTTTTAAGTGAGGTGATCCGTGAAAAATTTTGTGCTCTAGCTACCTCAGTGCCGTGCGAGAGGTTATTTTCGAAGGCAGGCTTGATCATCAGCGAAAGACGGAGTCGATTAAAAGCACATAAAGCTCGAATGTTGGTTTTTTAAACGCTAATGCGAACTTCGCAAAAAATTACGTTAGCAAAGATTAAGATTATAAGAAAATCATTATTGTCATGTATTATGTTTGTTATGTTTTAAAACTTCTATTTCAACTCGTAGAATAATCTCATGTGTTGTTTTACTTTTTCTGAACTGTATAAAAATACTTAATTTACTTATTTAGCAATGATTATAATCACGATTTTATATTTTATTTTATTTGTTATGTTTCAATGCTTTTATTTTGACGGGCAGAATAATCTTATGCTTCGTATAATTTTTGCTGTTTCATAGAAAAATGTTTCGTTTATTAAGCAATGTTTAACATATAAAAGAAGCATTTTTATACTACATTTGTTATGTTTTAAAAGTTTTATTTTGACTGGTAAAATAGTATTTTGTTTTACTTTTTAAGATTCATATAAAGATATTTTATGTATTTTTATGATTTTCTGTGTTTTATGCTCGATATTGTTAAAAACAAAAACCTTAAATATAGTTTAATTCAAATCTTCAGGAACCTGAACATCTGCACCTCGTTAATATCTATGAATAACCGCAGCCAAATATCGAGTAATTTAATCAATGCCAGGGAGTCGCTGGCTGCTGGCAGCGACCATAGACAAGCAGCGACCTAAAGCGCTGCTAAATCTACCGGCGACTTTAAGGTCGCTGTCACCGATATCCCGGCGACTTGCAAGTCGCTGCTAAGATCATCTCTAGTACCACTGTAAAGCTGAAGGTTCCCCCCACCCATCCCAACTGGTCGCATTGCGCTACGTTGCCAAGCTGCGTCACAAATAAATGAAGCTCATTACTTTCCGGACACACCATGTATATTACGTAGATGATGTTGATACTAAAGTCTCTATTTTTACTAACCGTCTTATGCATCTTTTTGATATTTACGCACCACTACGTACAGTGCGAGTCACAAAGCCTGCTGCACCCTGGCTAACTCCTAATTTAAAAATAACATTTCAACTAAGAGATGATGCATTAGCAGTATTTCAGAATAACAGATCTGCACAAAACTAGAAATACTACAAGGATTTGAGAAACTTTGCTCTAGCATCTCTGAGAAGAGAAAAAAAAGCATATATGTCTCGTTTCAGTAACTTAAACTCTAGTCAAGCGTGGAAAGAGCTAGGGAGGATGGATGTGGTTGCACAAAAGCGTGTTGCGATACCGCCAAGTTTACTTGATCCTAACAACTTAAATAACTACTTTCTTTCAATTTTCCATGCAGCTGTAACTGATTCTAACTAGATTGATCGTGTTTCTAACAGCTACAGCAATAGGCGTTATATACCAAGGGCACCTCTATTCGTATTTAAACTGCTCACTCAGCAAGACATTCTTAACATAATTAGTAATATTAAGTCTACGGCCTGTGGTTCAGATGGTTTAAGTTTAAATATGGTTTGCTTATGTCTGCCCGAGATTATCGATTACATAACGCATGTTATTAATATCTGCCTTGAAAGTGGTTATTATCCAGCCAGCTGGAAAAATGCTATAATTATTCCACTAGCCAAAAACAATTGTCCAGAGCAACATTCTGATCTTAGACCAATCAGCCTGTTATGCTTTCTATCAAAAATACTAGAGAAAGCTGTCTACTCTCAACTGGTGGAGTTTTTTGAACAGAAAACTTATTTCCTCAATGTCAGTTGGGTTTCAGGTCTGGTCACAGCACGACCTCGTCGTTATTAAATCTCACTGACTCTATCATCTATAATTTGGATAATCACATCAACACCGTATTGATACTGCTAGATTTCTCGAAAGCCTTTGACATGGTCAATCACCAGATACTATTGAGTAAATTGTCTTACTATGGTATGTCAGATATAGTTGTAAAGCTCTTCGAGTCATACTTGCTTGATCGGCAACAAACTGTGAAAGCTGAACAGGGCATGTCCACTACGAAGCCGGTTCCTTCAGGAGTTCCTCAGGGTTCTGTGCTTGCTCCCTTATTATATCTGATATACACTGCCGATTTGCAAGATTGTATAGTCCATTCAGCCATGCATACTTACGCGGATGGTACTCAGTTGGTGTTTGCCTTTGATCCGTCAGAGGTTGACGAGGTTTCTTTCAAAATCAATTTGGACATGACTAACGTGAACGATTATTGCAAGAAACACTGTCTTAAAATAAATCCTAAGAAGACTACTGCTATGTTGTTTTGTTCGAAAAATTCCTATTCAGTTGTGAAGGAGAGAATTAATATTGTGTTGGACCAAACACTCATCCCTCTTGTTGACTATACTAAAAACCTCGGAATAACTCTCGACAAAAACATGAGGTTTGATCATCACGTTTCATATTTGTCGAGAGTAACGTATATGCGCTTGAAACTTCTACATTCAAGTCGACATATTTTAAATTGTATTGTCAATTATATCTTATTCTCTTGTCCTCTATTATCCATGTTTAGATTATAATAACAAATGTAAGCTTCAGAAAATTCAAAACAGCTGCTGTAGGTTTATATTTGGTCTCCGTAGGTTCAGTCACGTTTCGGATAAAATCAGAGAACTCAACTGGCTGAAAATTGATAAACTATTTTTATATTTATTGAACGTCTTAACTCATAAAGTTCTGCTAACAAACAGACCGGCCTATCTTTTTAGCAAATTGATACCTCGTGGTAACTTCGTACCAAGGACTCTTAGATTTAATATTAATTTTAATATGCCGCTCCACAACACTTTTATCTTTGAAAGGAGTTATACCTATAATGCTGTTAAACATTACAATGCTCTTAACCATTCGCATCGATCCAAGCCAGTCTTTTCTTTTAAGAAATTAATGAAAAATCAGTTGCTGGAGACAAGTTAGTTCTCTGTGTTTATATATGTATATGATTGTCTTTTCCTGATTGTTTTGTGTATCTGTCGTTCATTTAATGAAACTATGTTTTTTTTTTCTCTTACCTTCAGTGTTGTTCTTAATTACTTTTTTTGTAACATGTGTATGCATTTTTCTTTCTTTTTCTCTGCTTTGGGGTTAAGTGGAGGAGTAGCCGTCTGGCTAAACTTCGCCTCACTGCAGATAATAAAGGCATTATTATTATTATTATTATTATTATTATTATATCCTTACCCATGCCCTAAATCAGGCACGGCCAATGACCGTTGCAGTCGACGCCGCTGTGGGAAAAATAATAATAATAATAATAATAATAATAATAATAATTTTCATTGGAATATATATACATAAAAAATATAAAAACGACAGTCCAAGAGAAAAGAGGGTTGGCACGACCATTTTTCACCTGCAACTAAAAAGTTAATTTCATGAGCGTTTATGTAACATCAACGCAATGATTAGTATGATTCACAACAAATATGCACAACACAGAATATACCTGTAATACGATATAGTCCGAGTGTTAATGGAAGATAGTGTAGCAAGCGCCATAAATTTCATTTGTGGATTCAAATCTTTGTAGCTGTAGTAGCACTTTTTCCATCTCATTTCTGGAGTTTTGGATGGAAAGTGCGTCAAAAAGCTCTAAATAATCGTTCAGTAGATATGGTGCCGTGTAAGTAGAACATTTTTTGAATTCAGACGTTGTATGAACAGAAATGTTGAAATAGGCATTGTTGCGTAAGGAAAGTTGGCGGAGTAAACGTCTCTTCTCCAAAGCAATAAACAGATATCTGGGTAATTTATATTTTAAAACTTTATACCGTAGGGTTCCATATGGCCACAAATAACGAACATGACATTTTTTTTTTTATGACTGCGTATTAGGTTTAGAATAGGAGTGTATGGTAGCAAAAATGGGTAAACATGGTCAGGAATTCAAGCACCAGCACACGTATGATAGGTTTTACGGCTAAAGTTCCAGTTATTCTTGATTATTTTATCGAATTTTTTTACAGTTAGTTCCTCAAAAAAGGTTATCTACTATTTCGCCATATTTCCTACATTTCCCTAACTTAGCTCATGTTTTCCTTTCAAATGAAATTATTATAAATACGCCTGAAACTATTATCCAGCAAAGCTTTCAATTTAAACGGTAACAACGATACACGTTTTCCTGCTGATATATATTCGTTTGTCCACTGCCTGACCTACACTGCATATAAACAAATGAACTTTCGACCAATCCCCGGGAGAGTGATGGATTTTATACAGAGCGGAACCGGCTTGTCAGTGATTGATTACACGCGAAATGCATTAAAAGATTATTAAAAATGCAATCAGAAAAACAAATTTACGCGGCCCGTGCTGCGGACACATGGTTGGCGTTTGCATACAAAGAATAATTTGTTTTTAACTGGAGTGGGCGAAAAAGGTAATGGATATCAGTGTACACGTTCGGTTTCATTTCATACCCAGTATTCCACTTTGTGCAAGAGTTGTTATAGACAATGCGTATGACTCAACAAGGAGTACAGCTCCTTTCTTGGTATACTGGACAGGATTAATGTTTTATTTAAAACTGAATTTGCTGTTCGATCTTGATTACATTAACAACGATACGATTTGAGTAGAAGCTGCTGTCATGGAGGAAGCTTTTCGTCTTAGTTTAAGGAGATATTGAGATATGTCCCATGACGTCATAATGCCACGTGGTTGCTAATTTTATTGATGTTTAAGTAGCTCTTTGGTGAATGACACACGATTAGTATTTATTGTGGTCTGATGGATGTGTCGTTGACAGCGAACTTCTACGTAACCTTAATAGTGACGTCGAAGCTACACGGTTAATAAATACCACACACCTTACAGGTCTTATCAGATATTGATCGTGTGATATTTGCCTTACAATTTTTTTCGGAAATCCAACCAAATCTGACGACTCCCATGAAGTGTCTGTTGTTAGCCCATCGCCACTTGATATTTGTTTAGCTCCACCAGTCAAGTAGTATTATCTGCTAACCTCCAGCAGGCGTGATTGGTTGAGAGGAATTAAAGTACTGTTTATACGTATATATTATTGAAGGTAGTGGAACCAGTTGTATATGATCAAACCTGAGTTTTGGATA